TGCACATATTTTAATTATTCACTGTATTGAGCACCAGTCTACGGCGCTCGATCAGCCCTGTGCTTCGTCTGTCTTTATGTGGCCCTTAATGAAAAAAGTTTGGACACCCCTGCTTTAGACTGAGTCCCTTTGATTAATTTGTTAATTTATTTTTTTTATTATTCATGAAAATATCAGTATTTTTAGTTGACAGAAAGATCTACAGCTAACTTTTTATAAAAAATTGCACCTAATTTGTCTCAATAAATCAAGAAGAAAGAGTAATCAAGTAATCTACCTATCTATAGACTAGAAGGGGGGTTCATAGTCTAAAGAACATAAATGGAGACATATCTAAACTATATCATATCTAAACACTATATTAATGCCCTCACCCTAATTAACTGTTAACTCTAACTTCTGAGAACTCCTAGTTACTAAACCTGAATAATTCTTAATAAACTATTAAAAAAAACTATTTGTTCATCCTTAAGTCTTTCTTCATACTTTACTGTGTACGTTTTTGATGGAGGATTCATCAAATACTTTCTTCATAAAAAGGTTATTGCTTTACCTGGAATATTTCACAGTATGATCTTAAACTTTTATCTTCAAGGAGACCAAACAGACCAAGTTACAGAGCAGATCTGTGGAGAGGCGACCTCGCTCACAGTCAAAATCTGTTTTTCTAGGTATTTTTGAGCTATTAAACCACCTGTAATTGGATAAATATAATAAATATAAAGCTGTTTAATTCCATACTGTGGAAGTTTCCAAGCAGAGAAATTACAAATCCATAAAAACAGACAGGTGATGGACCCCTATGAAAAAGTTACATAGTGCAGCTTTATTGCTAATTAAGTTGTAGGCTAGTTATTATAGAGTGTAACCAACCTAATGATTAAAATGTATGCATGGATGTAACTTTTGTGTTATTTTAAGTTATCAAGTTCAGTATTATTTCTTATTATGTAGTTTTAGTCAGCAAAAATATGACAAAAAAACTATGACAAAAATATTGAAGCCAACCAAATTAACCACTGCCAGTGCCGCCACCGTGCTGTCACCACGCAGACGTCTTCATGAGCACGGTGTTGTTGGTTGCATCATGGTGGTAGAGGCTCGCTGACATGGCTCTGTTGTGTATACAGCTCAGGCAGAAGGGCTGCTGCTGCTACTGGAAAGTTCCAAAACAGCCCAGGGCACTTATTAGGCAGGTAACTGTAATGTCAGGGGCACTACATGATTAGCAGGGTCTGAGCACGCCGGCACTTAACTATAGTCATTACATATCAGGCTAGCATTATAGCTACAAGAGTGGCGTTCAATTAAATACTGCTCGGTGTGTAATTATGAAACAAGATGACACAGGGCTCTGGGACAAGGAAAACAGCAATTGCTCATCTGAAGTAGAATAGAAAAGTTGAATCAGAAAAACTACTGTGTACATGTCATGTTTGTGATTTATTTAAGTGTGGTTGCTGTAATTGAAAAAGAGATAGATTGGTACATGATTTGGAAAAGATAAACGTGCAAATGAGATCCACAGGTGCAATAGTAGTTTTCAAGCAAATAAAGGCTACAGATCAATACCCACATGCTAATCAATACTCAAACTAGTGTCAAAACTAGACACTCCATTAAGCAGGTATCAGTGCTGACAAACTAGTTTTATCAACTAGTACTTTGCATTAAAATGACCATTCACATTCTTTTAAATACCATTCTGTTATCAAAATCGGGACTAAATTCTTTTCAGTGACAAACAAAATTTGAGTGCCACACTATTAGCACATATTACAGAAGTCAGATTTAGCAGGCTTTCTGTAGTTTAGACAATTTAAATAACCAAATCTTGCATTTCTGTTCATTTATTTATATTTCAATTTTCTATTTTGTGATTTTTTTATTTTTAATTTTTTTAAATCTCTCTAAAATGCCAATAAACCTAATAAAATTTACCTCCTTACTTTCTGGTGGACTGTCATCTACAATCATTCACTGTTTCTATGGAGATGCTTTTCCTGGAATTTCCACAGTACAGCATTAAACTTCATGTAGACAAAGAAATGAAACCACAAGGCCACGTTACAGTCAGATCTGTGGAGAGGCAATGTAACGATGCAATGCAATTAAAGGGATTTCTTAAGCAATTCAATAAAAGCAACACAGAAACAAGCAAGACAGATAGATTGATGGTTTGATGTTATCCATAAAGATTCAGTTTTATTTAGTTCAATTAAATTAACTGTATTTGTCCTCAAGAGGTGGACATTCACTCACATTGAAGAACACAAGCAGTGAAGCATTCCAGGCAAAGCAAAAGCATCTCCATGGAGTCAAAGCAGTGGACCATCCACCAGAAAAGTTTCATACTGCACCGGTAATTATTCTTGTAGTACAATTAAACACATTTTCCAGGCTTACTAACATCTATTATATTGAAAAAGAAATTACCAAAAACCAAACCATTATTAAAACCAAATAAAATGTGTTTTTGATGCCACAGTGAGCACACAGACAGAACAGCAGCAGGTGATTTGTCTTGTGAGGGCCACATCCACAGCCTGCGCACTTCAAACGGCCCATTGATCGGAGGCACAGATTGGGGCAAAGAGATCAAATGTGGTGTAAAGAAGAGTTTCACTGAAGGAGGCAGATTTCTCCACTCAAAAGGAGCCATCTGGTAGCACTGTCACTAATTTCCAATTGATTGTAATTACCTCTGAGCACAGGCCAAGCCCAGGGTCAGTCTGGCTATTTTATCCAATGTGAAGTGACTGTAAATACACCGTGACATTTAGCACTATTTAATCCAGCGACACCTTTGATCTCTGACAAATGCAATCATAGTTGTGTGTTTTGAAAATATGTGTAAGTATTAACTGTACATTGCATATGGGCTGCAATCAAAAGTGAAAAATTAGCCAAACAGAAAGATAAAAGCCAGTTGTTGAAATGTGCGCTATAGAGAGTAATGGTATTTCAAACATCTTGCAAGAAATACAGGTTTATGGATCATTATAACAGACAAATGACTGTGATCATGCTATCAGACAGTAATCCAAACAGTTTCAGCTCTTAACTAGCACGACTCAGGAGGTTCTCTCATATTTCTCCAGTGGCCATGTTGTTTTAGAGCTTTTAATGCCAGCTGAAAAGACAGAACAATCATAAGTTCACTTTACCAAACAATGTCCAAAAGAGAAATGATATGCAACACAAGGGCGCAGATGGGACAGTGTCTGTGTTTATTTTACAGCCATGCAGCATAAAAGAGCCCGGGTTGATTCTGTTTGCATAGGCCAGAGGTAAACAAGGCGTGCAACTATAAGGACAAAAATGTTCCATTAATTGAACCCAGGGTTTCTGTCTATATTTATATATACAGAATAATCAAATAAAAACACTGATAAAATCACTTGAATATGTAAATATTATAAGAGGGTCCAAAGTGAATCCATGCCAATGTTTTCCTTCAAGTCTCAGTGCAAGCATCAGTTCATGTTTAGCGCCATCAAAAGCTTTAAAAGGCATTGAAACCCAAGAACAGTTTGGGAAACCTTAGCCACACCACATCAATTATTGAAGAGTTTGGATATTTTGATGTGTATGTTAAGAGGACAGCAGTGGCATGAGACATACTTGTTTCAGGTGGACTGAGTATTCCACTTTAGACCAGCACAATGTAAGAGTAATGGTGAAAATAAAAAAATAAAAACGACATTGCAGCGCTGCCAGAGCCTGTGATCCAGTGAATGGTGGGAACCACAGCTTGAGTACAGTAGAGGTGTGAGCTGTCTGGGCCTCTTACTCACACTGCTCCAGACTCAATAGTCCATTGTCTCGGGTCCAAAGTGGAACCTCAAACCTATAAGTCAAAGGTGGGGGGCAGCAGATGAAGTTATCTCTGCAGGAGAGCTGTTTGGCAGAGACCTCCGTGGTCAGGGAACACTTTCTAGATCCCGTTCCCTCACTGCCACAGTAAATCCTCCCACGCATGTGAGCCTGCTCTAGATGTGATAAAACTAACAATAGCTGTGCGCAGCATGAGCAACATGTGATAGAAATATACATGCCAATCGATTTATTTTCTCAGCACAAGCAGCAGTCAAAATACTGTTTGGGCTGCTCATTTCTTTTCCTTTTGGAAACAATTACACACTTTCAAGGACGTTTTTACATTCAACAAACCATGTTGTGCTTCATACATAGTACAATGTGTGTGATCTGTGTGAATGTACATTGTACTGAAAGAGTTAAAGTGGAACAACTTGACCAAACAGCTGGGTGCCAGTACAAGTTAGACAGCTAAGCATACAGTATATTTTTCTTATTCAACGCATCAAACGTGGATTGGCATCATAAAGACATTCCTGGAACGGTCACAGGGCCTAAATATTAGTTGATGTCAGATTGCTTTTTGGTTTATAATTCTCGTTTTGCATTTAGTAAGCATTGGCTCCAGTTAAATGATAAAATAGTAGTCTAATATAATAATACGGTTTTTCGTAGATAAAGAGAAAAGTCAGTGCGTCAGCTCCATAAAACAACAGTCAGATCGCGCGCGCGGGTAAAGACGCGCGTACTGTGACGTAGCTTAATTGAACCGCGAACTCAGAGATCAGTTTGTCTCTGTTTAAGAAAAAAAAACAAAAAAAAAAAAAACTTAACAGTCTAATAATTTCCATGTGTGGCAACCAAATGGCTATTTTAAATCTGTCACATTTGTTGGCTGCACACCACTGAAGTGCCCAAAACCGCAGTGTGTAAAACCAAAACATTTTGAAAAGCTCGGCTCGGACATGTTATGCTTGTAATAATTCATGTTCGAGTGAAAAGTGATGACACAGTGGCACATATACGTCTGTAATCATACGTGAGCGCTCGTGCTGCTCCGCGCTGACAGTGGAGAAAAGAGGAGTGGGCGGTGTTTATTGACTGCCAGTGGCACCAGACACTACTACCCCGTATATAAACTGGGAGGGACGTCAAACACTCTCATTGGGACCCACAACACGCTGATGCTCCCACGCACGTTCACATCACTGCAAGCACAGGGCACCGCCACACACGCACCCCGAACCCCTGACCGGCACGATGGATGGACCACATAAGGACCGCAGAATGTCGCACTTGTGGATATTGACGTTACTTTTATGTTTCTAACCTATTGGATAACTCTGGCTTTTTGCATCTTCTGGATACGGTTTGTGCAGCTGGATCTCGTCCCTCGGGCTTTGGAAGAAGGATTATATTTATTTACATTTGAGGCTGTTTGGTGTCTCATCTTGGAATAGAGGCGTTTTTGGGGAGGACATATAGATTTTCCAAGGATACGCACATTAAACTCTAAAGGATGGCCGTTTGGTTCACACTGGTCTTCTCAATAGTTATTTCAGTACTTACTCAGGTACTTATGTTTCCTTAATATTCACAAGTATGTAGGTTTTTCAGTGTCTATATTTGCTAACTTTATGTGTGATCTTCTTAGGTTCTGGGAACAGGTGTGTTCGAAGTGGAGTTCCATCATTTTCAGAATACTAATGGTGCGCTCGCAAATGGACTAAGTTGCGGGAAAAGTGGCTGCAGGACTTTTTTCACAGTTTGTCTAAAGAACTTTCAGACTGTAGTTTCTCCTGGTAAATGTTTGTTCGGTAGAGCCACCACACCTGTTCTGGGTACCGACTCCTTCAGCATCCAGCAGAACGCTCGACTGCGACTGCCGCTCAACTTCACTTGGCCGGTAATTGGGCAAAATATTGACTTGCATTTTATTTGAAGCCTTATTAAAATCATAACCTTAACAGAAATAAGAACGGTATTTAAACGCACTGCCCTTCTTTCTTCACAGGGAGCTTTTTCCTTAATAGTAGAAGCTTGGCATTCTCCTTCCACGGGGCTGCCTGGAGGTAAGGACCCATGTTACCCGCTAGAGGGAGCATTTCCTATGGCATAGTTTACTGCTCTAAGTTCTTGCATTGCTAAGTGGCAGTGTCTGGTTGGATACCAAAATATAGTAAATACATGAATATGAATAATAAAATACTGATAATAAATGTATTTTTGTTCCAGACACCACCAACCCTGAATTCTTGATAAGCTCTTTTGCCATCCAAAAAAAGTTGGGAATAGGGCATGAGTGGTCCCAGGAGGCAGCAAGCGGCACGCAGACGGAGCTAAGGTACTCTTACCGGTTCATCTGCAATGAAAATTACTACGGGGACACTTGTTCCAAAATATGCACTCCAAGAGACGACCGTTTTGGCCACTACACCTGCAAGCCTGATGGGCAAATAGCCTGTCGACCGGGATGGAAGGGAGAATACTGCCAAGAACGTAAGCAAGAGTGAAAAGTGACTTTTATTTGTGTGTGCTATAGGTTAGGTTACTTAACTTGGAACACAATCGCTTCATTTATGGCCGACTATAAATCATAGCATATAAAACACAATTTGGCCTTTGCGTTGACGGATTTGGTCAATGGTGAAATGCAGTGCCATTTGGGTGAAATAGGGGCCCACTTTCACCGTGGAGGGCGCGTGCGTCCTTTAATCCGGGTTACGCGTGGACCACGCCCGGCAGCACGCGCCGAGGTTAATCGCGGCATTATCGGCCGCCACGCGCCACTTAACTGCGGCTTCTTTTGTTGGCTGTTGTTGAACGGGCACAGGCGGCAGCTGCACGCACGGCTCGCATTGCCCAGCCACAACAATAGGGCAGCTGTCCTGCTTTAGGAGAACAAGCATCTGCTCACCACTAACCAGCCGTATACCATTTAAAATCAATGGCACACTGCCTTGAGCCTACAGCTTTAGAAATGCCCATTTATTACTAAACAGCCTGCTAATAGATTATAATGGGAGAAAGAAACATTTATAATCACTAAACACTTAATTACAAAGCTTCATGCTCATTTAACTGTGCTAATGTATATCTTCTTATTATACAGCTGTCTGTCTTGAGGGGTGCAATGAAAGAAATGGAAACTGCACGGTTCCTGGAGAGTGCAGGTGAGTGACAAGTATAGGCCTAAACCAACACTTAATGAAGAAATGTCAGATACAAGTTTTTAAATGGATGTGACTTTTGGGAGACTTATGCTGGGTGTATTAACCCATAACTCTCTTTGGTCTGAGCAGATGTCGAGAGGGCTGGCAGGGGCTATTCTGTGATGTGTGTAAACTTCACCCGTCCTGTAAACATGGTACCTGCACAAAGCCGGGGCAGTGCACCTGCAAAGAAGGCTGGGGAGGAATCTTCTGTGATCAGGGTAATTTATATCATGTTTCTAACTGCAGCAGTTTAAAGGCAAAATATTCGCTCACAAAGAAATGTTAGCAGTGTAAACAGCAGAGCACTATATAATGTTTTCATCCATGTGTTTGTAGATTTGAACTACTGCACCCATCACAAACCTTGTGCAAACGGGGCCACTTGTATGAACACTGGCCAGGGCAGCTACACCTGCACCTGCCTGCCAGGTTTCACCGGGGTCAACTGTGACGTGGAGGTTAGGCAGTGCGACAGCCAGCCCTGCCGTAATGGAGGCTACTGCGTGGTGAGTCCGGAAGTCCCTCTCTCTCCTTTCCCACAACACACGCCTTCCTGTTTTTGTTTTTGCCTAGCACTATCTGCTAGTACAAGAGGATGCTATTGATTGTCAAGTTACAAAATGACCCAGTTCACAGGGAACTCCTGTAAATAGAACTAAGGATGGCTTAGTTTCCATTGACATTGTTAAGTCTTTTTGATAGATCTTATATTTGTCTGTTTGCAGGATTCAGAGGATGGGTACAGATGTGTGTGCCCACCGGGCTACGAGGAGCCACACTGTGAACACAAGAAGCTGACCTGTGCAGACAAACCCTGCTTTCATGGGGGCAAGTGCAAAGAGCAGGACAATGGACACAGTTACACATGTGAGTGTCCAGCAGGCTACACTGGACTCAACTGTGAGAAGAAGATGGACAGATGCACTTCACTGCAGTGTGCTAATGGTAAAACAACGCACACAAAACATGTCATAAATTCTTATAGTATGTCTCTGATACATATAGGCATTGATTCACTGGACTTGTTTTTTTCACAGGTGGTCATTGTGTGAACCACGGAAACTACGGAGTGTGCAGCTGTCGCTCAGGCTTCACAGGACAACGCTGTGAAATCAACATTAATGAGTGTGCCAGCAATCCCTGTGCTAATGGCTCCACCTGCACTGACCGCATCAATGACTACACATGCACCTGCCCCCTGGGGTTCAGTGGCCGCCACTGCGATAGGCCCACACAGCTCTGTGGAGCAAAGACCTGCCTCAACGGAGGGACCTGTACTAGCGGAGCCAGAGGTCAGCACCCATGCACCTGCCCCACAGGGTACAGTGGCCCCCTCTGCCAGAACCATGAACCAAACCACAACCAGTCCAGGAGTCAGACAGGCTGGCAATACGGGGACAAAGTTACTTTCGCCGCCATCGGTGTGGGAATTGGACTAGTGATTCTGGCAGTATTTTTCTGCATGGTTTTCTTGGGACTACGTCATATTAAAAAACAAAGAACTGATCACCACAAGTCAGAGACTATCAACAACCTGTCCAAGGTTGATCATCAGAAAGAGAACCTTATTTCTACAGTAGAGCTGAAGAACACAAATAAAAAGATGGAACAGGAGGTGGACTGTACCAGGGACAAGTCTAATCATAAACACATCAATCACTACCACCCGGATTATAAAATGTCCATGGTTTACAAGGATGAACTGTCCTATCTGGACAAAGAAGAAAACTGTGAAAAGACATTAGAAGACAAGCACCATTTTAGAAAAATGTACAGGTAAGAATAGTTATTAGCCTTGTTTACACATCTTCTGTACAGAACAAAGACTATAAATACATATAATATACAAGAGTGATCTAATATGAACCCACTTGACCCTTATGTTTGTTTTGTTTCCAGAGAAAGGCCTGAGTGTCGAATATCAACAATATGTTCTTCCAGAGATTCAATGTACCAGTCTGTCTTTGTGATAGCAGAGGAGAAAAATGAATGCATTATTGCAACTGAGGTATTTTCTTCTTTTTCAAACCATATTGACTTGATGTGTTTGCATGATTTCTGACTTTGTATGTTGTCATTTACAGGTATAATAATGGGGACTTGCATTGCATTTCTTGTGGACTGTTTACAAATGAAGAGAGACTTGGATTTATTTAATTGTAAGCTGCTGCTCTTGAAAACTTGACAACTGGATGGAGTCACTGTGCTCTTCAAATGCAATAGGACTAAAACTATTAACTATTGTGAGAATGTAAAGAGGAAAAATAAACAAATCAGACTTTTGAACTCGCCTTCATACCCTGTCCAAGTTCATCTGAGGGCCGGGGTCAAGACATTTCAACTGCACACTGTTGACAAGAAGATTGCCCTTTTGATGGAGCACCCCACTGTAGTGCAGTAATCAGCAATCAACAAATCAACTTACTGCCAACAGGGCTTTGATAGGAGCCATTTTGGTTCTTCTAGCCTCTATGCAAACTCAGACCAGCCTTTTGCTAAATCAAGAGACAAACTACTGTAGACGGTTCATTAGGTTTGTGAATTGAATCTTTTTTAAGAAGAATGTATGCAACACTGACAAAAAGCCTTATTTAAATATACTTTTAAAGAAAATAGCCTGTGCCTAGCCTTACCCTCGTTACTTTGCACACAAATACAGAGTTAATTTTAAAAGATCAAAAATTATATGTGGCCGTAGAGTGCAGGGATACACAAGACTGTTTTACCTTATGCAAAAATTTCTCTTTTTACCAAGGACGCCTTCAATAAATATGACTTAAATGTTTTTGTATGATTAGTATTTCATGAGTAATTTAACAATATGAAGCACTGATCTTTATGTTTTATATAAGATTATTTTGTATATAGTGTATATTTATATGATGAGAATAGAATTATGACTTGTACTGTACATGTTTTCAACTCACCCCAAAAGGTGGTTTATTTTAATTTGTTGTTGTTTATTTTAATGTTAATATTTCTGATAAAAACAATGAATACATATCTGGTACACTGTTTGTTTGTTGCTATTTTATGGTTGGGTGTACATGTCATTGCATAGTAATGTGTTTCAATCCTGGAATCATCTAGTAATGTGTCCCACAAGGGCTGGTGTGGCTTCATTGTCTAATAGAAATATACACATATTTGGCCTTAATGATTATGTCCACGAGATCTGCAGCCACGTGATGTCAAGTCACTATGCATACATCACTAAGCGGGCAGCAATAGACATATTACTTTAACAAAAAGTTATATTTTAAAATTGTATGTGAAAATAAAGAATATTTGTGTTTTTCTACTGAATGATCATTATATTGTGTCTTTTTTTAAATTAGCAAACTAGAAAGCAAAATAATTTAGTGGGATCAATTAAACTATTTTTATGTGTTAATTGCTCAGAATGTAGTGCCATTTGCCACCACTCGGGGGCAGCGAGCTTAGACTGCGAAAAACAAAACAACTGAACGTGAGCCTCAAAATTCTCCTTTACGTTTAGGGAAAGTCTGATCAGACAGAGGCCTACTCAAGATGATCTCCAATAATAGCCTCTGCAGTCAGTACATCCACTGGAGTGCTCCTCATCTAATCTTAACCAGAGACTAATAAGCTTAAGCGAGCGCAGGCCCAAGCACTGCAACTCAATGGGTCTATTTATAGATAATGTAATTACCACAGCGACCATCACAGACTGGTGCAGGTGCCCCCAAAATTACTGTTGTGTCATCTAAAATGGTGTACTTCAATTGATTTAACAAGGCAAAGTAAAAACAACAACAACAAAAAAACACATAATAAGGACTGTAAATAGCCTATCGGAAGAGTGAGTGTATCGAGACAGATACGCAGGTCACTTCAAGAACCACTCATTGATTTCAAAAAGGCCTGAGGTTTTTATTATTCACAAGACTGGAATTGCGGTAAAAGAAGAGGATTGGTTGGTTCAAGAATAGTCCCGCCTCCAGTGTGATTTGATTGGTTAAGGTCATCTTGTACCAAAGCGATCTGAACAACATAAACACGTGTACAGTGGAGGAACAGGACACTCACAGACAGACAGTATTGGCACCTTATACTATCTTTTGATACGGCTACTTTTCAACACTTTGGAATGTGTTGAAAGATTACCTCGGCTTTTAGACTATAAAAACGCAAATTCCAAATGTACAATAATCCAAGACAAGAGGACACCTTAAAGAGACCTTCCAGCTAGAAGACTTGTTGACAGAAAAAGCTTCAAGCGCCTTTGTCTGTTCATCTTGAGACGCAACAAGATGAAACTCCAGGATATCATAGAGGAGAAGAGTAGCTTATGGATATTTGGATATGGCTCCCTGTTGTGGAAACCCAACTTTACCTACAAAAGTAGTACAGTTGGCTTTATTAAAGGATATAAAAGACGCTTCTGGCATGGAGATGACTTCTACAGAGGGAGCAAGGAAAATGTGAGAATTTTAATATTTTTACTCAAATTGAATAGCAACTAGTATGTTTTTGTTCTAGTATTTGATTCCCCATGTTTCTGATTTTTACAGCCAGGAAGAGTGGTCACTCTGATAGAAGATGAAGAAGTAAGTCATCTCTTTCTTGACCAGTTAACTCATTTACATATATAATAAATTCATAACTACATTATTCTGTAACTTGTTTAACCTACATATTTTATTACACTCAGATTCTCACATTTAAATACTCCACATGTGAATTTATTTTTGCACGAATGACACGGTAATAATGATGTTATTCATATTCAATGTTGTCTCTTCAGGCATGCACATGGGGAGTGGCCTTTGAGGTGCCTGGTCCTCAGATAGAAGAGACCCTCCATTATCTAAACATCCGTGAAGTGGTGATGGGCAGCTATATCACAGAGATAGTAGAGTTTATCCCCAGGGAGAGGGGCCAGAGCAACCTGTTCGCCCTGGTCTACATCGCCACTCCTGATAACCCCCGATACCTGGGCCCTGCTCCTGACATTGAGATCGCCACTCAGATCGCCAGCCGCAAAGGAACCCTCGGCCCTAACATAGAATACCTGGTGCACCTGGCTAATTTCATGAGGCTGTACTGTCCAGGCGTAGAGGACCATCACCTGTTTACAGTTGAAGAACATGCTTTGAACTTTGTCCGCAGAGAAAGTGAAAACCCACCACAGATGCCTGTGCTGGTAGGGGCTGAATAAAGAACAATTGTCTCTATACAAACTTAGTTCTCAAGGGAAATGGGAATTTTGTGAGCTTTTTCCTTGGCAGGTCTGGGCAACAAAGCAAACTTCATATGTATTCATGTTTGTGCTACTGGGATCTTTAGGGCATTTACACTTTTTTTTTTTTTTACCTAACTTAGTCTTGACATGTCAATATGAAGAATTATTGTACTCGGTATACAGTGCCTTAAAGGTAAAGACTGTTGAGAAAATTGTTTTGCGTTGACGTTTGCACAATGTTCTAGATATATATATATTTTTAATAAAAGATTTGAAAAACATTATATATCTTTTCATTTCTATGGTGCTTGTACAGCAGACAGTAACACCTCCCAATTGAATCACATGACCCAAGAATGTACCACCACCACCTCTGGCCAAAACGGCACCTCCCCTGAGAGCAGCCACTACACAGCAAACATTGACAAACAGGGTCATTATATAATAAAGAACTTTGTTATTTTACACAACTGATTGTAATGGACATTTTGACATCACCACAGTCATACAAACATTTGCTTTCTAAATGTCTAGATGTCTTTAAGTGAAGACCGTACACAGTTTCTGAATAAAAAATAAGTGACATTGTACTTATGATGAAATGAAATTTTTTCATATTTGTCATATTTGCTAGACAGATACAAATAGTTACTAACAAAATCTAGCACAACTAGATCCTTCTGTTTAACCCGATCTTGCTATTTGTAACACAACCTGTAATTTGTAACTGTATTGAACATGTTTTGAACATGTTTTTCATTTTAATATTTTAAAGAAAGCTGAAACAAACAGCAAGTTAGAACAAGCCTGAACATATAGAGTATATATACTGTGCAGCTTGACAGACCCTGGACGTGCTTGGCTGGGGAGTGAGGGGTACATATAGGGTTTCTGTCTGCTCACGTTGCAAAAACATGTGCACGTTCTGAGCTGAAAAAAGTGATTTTACCCAACAAGTTTTTCAGACCCATCCTAGTGGCTCACTGTTCTATATTCTTAGAAATCACAGAGAAAGTGGGTCAAAGGTTGAACAAGACATGTACACAGAATACACATGTAAGGCACATGCAGAGGCTGGACACTCATTATATAACTAAAGCATGTACAGTTTATAAAGGAAGGTGCCAGCTACTCAGACCAACTCCACTGCCTCCCCAATCTAAAAATACTGTCAGTTTGTTTTCAGTCATATATTTGTGCTGACTAAGAAAACAGATTAGGACACATCAGATACATCAACACACCAACACAGATTTATCTGGAGAACATACACACATACTGTGTACTTCCACCTTGTCCTTGCATAAGCGTGTGTGGTTACACCATAACAGCTCATATCCTAAACTCAACATGCTATCAAAGGTCCTAGATTAAGCAAAATTTACTCTTGTGAGCTTTTAGCCATATTATAATGTTGTTATCTCATCAAAAAATAACCTGAGTTTGTGTCATTCACACATTACATCTTTAAAATGATTCTAGTGATTGTGTATGGAGTTTAAAAACACAGTGGTGCACTTCCTGTATGACATCACAAGGTGGAATGTTTTTGATTTGAGAAAAATATGTAAATATGTTGGAATTTGGAATCTCGTACCACAAATTGCCCTGTCAGCATGTTACATTATAAACACAGCTCACAATACAGACATGATCTTGTAGTATTTGACCAGTCAGCAGTGTAAAGTCAGTGGTTATTATTGCACCAAACAGGTCAATCCTTAATTTAAACACTCAGCAGGTGTTGTAAGACAAACCAGCTCTCACCAACCAGGAGCCTGTCTGTTCTAAACAGCTATTTATGAAGCTGATGGAAAGTACCGCTGGAATAAAACACACAAGGTTTATTAACTTGTCATTAGTACAAACAGCTTAATGCTTGGGAATGGCTGTCACTTCATTCAGTAAAATTATACTTGATTTGTTTGACTGATGATTGAAGTGTACTGCTTCCTCAGTATATATTCTATAAAAAAGAGAACAATTTTCCTCAATCTCGGGACATATTTATAAATACTGCCTGTACCTAAAGCTAGCAAGGAAATTGCAATTTTTCTGCTTTACCTTACCCTTCAATCTTCTTACTGTGAGGCAAAGTGCTACCCACTCAGCCATCGTGCTGATACAAGTAGACACAATGTTTTCTAAATGAACTGGATTCAGTGGTCAGATAAAAACATTCAGTAATGATAGGCCTGTCACGCTAATTATTTTATCAACTTAATGTTCAAAAAATGTTTGCTGGGCCAACATATTGTGGCTAAATATTTACCTTCAGTACAATTTCTTCAATAGTGGGGAGAGTTTTGTTATTTTTGTTGTAATATGATCAGATTTAAGCTATAGAGGGTGGAATAAATAATTTCTATGGCCAGTTATGGCTTCATTGTTACTCATTGGCTACTTATTTGTTGCAGCCCTTCCCTTTTTTCTAGGAATATACCTTGCATCATTATTATGGTGGCAGGCCTATGAAATGGAATGCTGTTAGATGAATGAGTTCATGTTTTGTGTTTTTCTGTCTGGTGTAGAAAAAAATTATGAAAAAGCTGAAAGAATTTGAGAGTCAATTTATCTAATTTAAAAATTGGTTTATAGTTAAACAATGATGCTACTTGTATTTAAAATGTGCTCCTTGTGCTCGTCCCTAATCAATAAGAGGTCACTGCACATCGCCTGGTGGAGTAGGTGTCATTAAGTCCACAACCTAATGCAAAGTGATTATATAGAATACAAACAATACGGCGGTGTAGATTGGGGTCGTGTCCTCAGGATGTCCTCTGCACATTCCTCACCACATTACTGGGCCTCTGTTACAAGCTCTCCACCTGCATGCTAATGTGCACCCGCTCTGAACCATGACCCATGACCTCGGTGTGGTCAGCGCCGGCCCTAGGTCACTCTGGATGTGTGTTAAAGTGAAAGTGATGGTGAAGCTAATGGACTTCATCCGCACTAGTGGCTGACCTTAGGATCTGGGATGGTGCCCTCAGGATCCCACTGCTCCTTGGAGACTTGTCCCAGGCCATCTCTGGTCAGTTGTCCGTGGACATAAGTGCTGCCACAGTCACACAGACCATATTAACTGCAGAAAAGAAGGTCATTAATAACACACAAACAGTTGCTGATGATAAGGCTTTCCACTACCTCAAGCACTGGTCTATTCTTTATTGCGAATCCCCATCCACCCAACAAATGTGCATGTTTTATACATGACAACATTCAAGTCTCGTGATATTATCAATAGAACATCATGGTACTTATTTACCAAGAGCATTGAATAAAAAAAAAATTATGCTTAATGCTTAACAGTTGTTGCACACTGAAATGAAGCATAGGAGTATAATGTACTTGCGTTTTCACCACACAATTTTAGACTCATGACTTTACAGAGTCTATTGATATTGCATTCTTATAATATTGACATAATTGTTACACATAAATCCCTAATGTTATCTAATATTACCTTTAGATCTCATGGACTATGTGAATAATATTTGTTGTTTATTACATTTGATGAAGTACAAAATGTTGCAATCGAAACATAAGATGACTCACACCAACTAGATAAACCACACCTGATGAAACTAAAACCAACCTAGACTTCACCTCCGATACTTCAGGGGAATCATATTCTGGCTCCTTTGATTTAAGAAAATCTGCACTACAAATGATCTGAATGATTCTTGAAGACAATGAATGCCTTCAGTTATCTTGTATCTATTGAGAGAATTTTATCAATGCGTATCAGTGATTCTTAAAAGTCAGAACAAAAGTCAGAACAAAAGACGTCTTCTTTAAAACACAGCAATATTTTCAAAATATCATATTTGGCATACTTATAAAGTTAAATTTAAGGGAGACCTGTATACAGGAGCTACTTATATGAAAACGTTGGCGTTTTTGAACCGTTGTGATGCAAACGTATATTAAAATTTTCAATTCAATGTAAATTTTTGTGTCCTTTGCCTGGGTTCGGAGATCTGCTTAAAAACATTTTAAAACTCTATTTATGTAAAAAAAAAAAATGCATTTGATGGAATTTAAAAAAGTTTTATGGTCTTGTATTACATAAAATTGACTCTTGTGAGCTTTAAGCCATGTTATAATGTTGCTACCTCCTCAAAAACAGGTGTTGTGTCTGGTTTCATTCACACATGTTTGAGTGTCTGCATTTCTAAAATTCAAAATGCTCAGTTCCACCTTGTGATGTCCTGTAGTGGTAGTTTTCAAGTTAACAGCTACATTTTACTTTTGGTTCGGTAAAGTTGGGCAATTCCAGGGCTGAAATGATTCAGATGATTCTAGTGAAGGTGTATGGAAAACACTGTGTGGAAAACACAGACGAGCACTTCCTGTATTATCACACGACATCACAAGGTGGAACAGAGTGTTTTCTGTTTGAGAGAAAAACGCGACCCAAATTTGCAGGATTTGTGCGTTAAACAGAACTCCAGGTATGTTTGTGATGAGGAATGAACATTATAACAGATCAGAAAATAGGACAGGTCCTTTAAATATACTTTTTTAAATGCCTATGGTAAACTTGTGAAAATATTTTTTCTTCAAAATTGTCCTAACTTTTTGTCAACTTCATCAGACATTTTGAAAAACCTCATTACATCAGGCAATAATATAATTATCTAAATGTCTGAGGGTCCCATTTGCTACTCTGTGGAAAGCAGGAGTACCACACACAGCCTGGTCACATTTACACTTTTTAATATTTAACACAAACAATGATGAAATTTGGGCAGAGTTAAACCTGTAGCATCTGTTTCAATCTGGATTAAAACATATTTGTTAATACATATTATTTACAGAGATATATTTTATAACATAAAAAAACACATTTTGAAATTAAGATATTATGAAACTCAATGTTAATAAAAGTATAAAAATATAATTTTACTTTTCAGATAATACTTTATTTGGATACAATGGTAAATAACTCTTATCACAACCTAAATATGAAGTAGTTTTCATTAGATTGGAGTAAATAAAATTGTATGTGTTTTTAGCATGTCTGACAGAGTTGACAATACAGTGAGGAAAATAAGTATTTGAACACCCTGCTATTTTACAAGTTCTCCCACCTAGAAATCATGGAGGGGTCTCAAATTTTCATCGTAGGTGCATGTCCACTGTGAGAG